AGCACACTAAGCCGTATCTGACCCTCAAACTGCAACTTCCGGGTAGTTCACTCATTAACGGTGAACTCCCGGACTCAAAGTGATCTCAAAGAGACCTAATCATAATACCTTTTCAAATTCGTTAGTATCATGATTGCAATTATTGTTTATTAATTATCTTTATTGCAAATAATGATTATTGGTTATCTTTATTACAAACATTGTTTTATCGATCATCATTAGGAGTATTTCGTTATCTATCATTAAATTGTTATTAATTCCTTATTACGAATTTTTGAATGGTTTACGGGAAATTTATTTCTCTGTTTGATTAGGTGTGTACAGTCTGTAAGTGGGACAGGGAACTGTATGCGTATGGTTTGATTGTTCTACCCCTGTTCCCACTCTCCCTACCCTCCCCGTATTCTGTGACCACCGGGACCTCTCAAGTACCGCATCAGTACACACTGATGTCGATGGAACAGGATACCGGGGCACTGCCACGGCGCAGTGCCAGGCTCGCAGTTCGTGCTCGACCTACGGTACCTCCACGAACCAAGGCTCAGCAACAGAGACTCAGCAGGCGGACGACTCCGGCGGCATCGAGTACAACATTGACGGTACCGGACACCACCGGAATTCTTCCCGCATGCCCGGCCCGAAGGGCCAGTGAGCCATTGGCTGACTATTTTGGGCGGCTACAGGTATTTACAGATCCCGTAGCTGCCGCCAAGGCTCAGCAGGAGGCAGCAGAGGCAGAACGTCAGCGGCTGGCCAATGAGGCGGCAGCCCAAGCTCAGCAGACTGCTGAGGCTGAYGCAGCGGCACGAGACCAACGGAATGCCGCCAGTACGGAGTCCCTGATTCATTAGTGAAAGTCAGTGGACAACGKTCCTCCAAGGCATGATCTTTGTGCCTTCGGACGCGCAGGCAGATCCAACACCGGCGGAGGCAGAGAGGACTCACCTGGCTAACTTGATGCTGGGCATGATGAGAGGCATCATGTGGAATAACACACTGCTGCAGGCACATCTGCGCACGGAACGASAGCAGCGACAAAAGTACCAGCAAGACATTGTTGTTTTAACAACTGCCATCCCCGCAGAAGCAACGCAGCAGCAGCATCAGCTGTTGAACTCCGCTCTCGCACGCATCAACAGCATTGAGGCTAACGCCTCAGCAGCGCCAGGCTGCAGGACAGACGCGACGAAGAAACTCAATGAGCGCATCGATCACGTCGTCACCATCATCGGCGACATAGGTGTTTTCAATGGGCCGGACACGATCAGTAGCACGGTGGCCGCCATCAAGACGGACATCACCAAGCTGCAGACGAAACCGGACGCCGCTACAAAGACTTACAAGATGCCGCACCTCGACATCAGCAAGTTTGACGACTACAACAAGTCGGACGCCTTGACATGGTGGCAACGTTTCCTCACGGAAGCATCATGCCGCACTATCCTGACAGACGACATGATGAAGGCACTCTACTTGCAACTTATTGGAGGAGTGCAGGCTTGGATGAACCATCTGGCGGCTACCAACAAATGCACCATCGCCGACCTCCACACGCACATCACGTGGAATGAGTTCAAGAAGCTATGGTTCACCCGGTTCATGGTCCGCAACGTCGTGAAGGCGGCCATGAACGAGGTGTACACCTGCTCTCAAGGAAATATGCCAACTCGAGACTGGACAACCAAGTGGCAGAAGATAGTGACCACACCAGGATTCGATTTGAGTTTTCCAAATCAACGATCCGAGTTCTTCTCGCGATCGTGCGCGGGACTGCGGTCGGCACTCGGCAACGAGTACGACTATGACACGTTCCAGGCCATTCTGGATCGAGCGAACTTAGTCATCCAAACGGATGACAAGGCCGCAAACGAACGGCAGTCCCAGCCGCATTATGTGGCTAAGCAGGGCTATCAACGTCCCGCACATAACAATGCCGTGATTTCGGAAGAAACAGACGATCTCCACGCTGCAGCAGCATCCTCGAGTGATGGAGGAATTGTAGCAGCGCTCCCGCCGAAGCGTCCCAAGAGAGTTCGGAAGAACAAGGCGACACAAGAGACAGCATCGACGGGCACTGGGCAGCAGCCATGGACGGCTTACAAGATAACCAAGGATGTCTATGACCTTCCTCAAAAGTACGGATACTGCATCTGGTGCAACGGCGTCACTCATGTGACCGCACAATGCCCCGAAAAGGGCAAGGCACGCGTACCCCGTCCAGCAAACTCGGGAAACTGAGTTACGCAAGGAGAGGGGCGACGTCTCTCCTCACTCCGCCGGACCCGGTTGCCTTGCTAGCAATCGATGTCACTACCGGGGAGCATGTGTTAGTCGCTGATTCTCGTGCCACGTACGAGCATTACGCCGCCCAGCTGGTACCACCATTAGACCAACCAAGCCACGTGCACTTAGCTAGCGCGTGCGCAGCCTGTACACCGTCGGCAAGTGATCCGGTCAGTTCGCCACTGATTTCCGAGGACTCGACGGCGTGGTCAAGACTTGAGGAGCTTGATCCGCTCAAGAGAGAGGACTTCGCTTGGATGCCTCTACCCTCGACCAGAACCTTGCCAAGGCCGCATTGCAACGCCTTGATGGCAACTCTACGCTCCTATTTGCACACTACAGTACCAGCTCCGTTGACGGACGACGGGGTAGCGGTTGTCGATCT